CCCCCCCCCCTCTCATATCTGCAGTATATTAACACCACAACGAGCTGCTAATATTTAGTGTTCTGGCATCATGGATTCTACACGTTGCCAAGTAAGACGCAGGTATGTAAGCCAGCCTTTGTATGTGTTCACACTGAGTGGGGTGTGTGGTAGACCTGCATTGCTGGTAAGTGTACGAGTGGTTGTAAACTGCGGATACGCACCATCATCATTGTCATTTCCAGGATACAAATATCCGGATTATCATGAATGCTGTACAGAAGGGTGTGGATGGGACTGGGTAGTGCATTGCAGTTCTAGAATCATAGCACTGTTCCAGGTCATTCTTGATTTTCCTACGAGCAGCACATTCTATCTTCTGAGCCCATGAAGTTCGCCATCGCAACACTTATTTCCGCTGCCGCGATCCTTGGCATGACCGAAGCCGCAGATTACATCACAGTCGACCCTGCCACCCTCACCAAAGTAAACCCTGAGAACCAGCTCCCAGGCCCCGTAACATCGACCTCCACGGCGAACCCCGCTCTGTTCATGGGGATTGGTCCCGAGATATTCCCTGGTGAGCCAGGCTACAAGGACCCGTTCGCCTCGTCCGTCAGCGGCAGCGCCTCGGGCAGTGCCGGCAGCCTCGCTACCTCCTGCAGCCCAACCTGTCCAAATGACAAGGACCCCGTTTGTGGAACGGATGGCGTCACCTACGACAATTCGTGCAAGCTTGGCCTCGCAGCCTGCCTCAACCCTCTCAAGGGTATCGCAAAGAAGTCTGACGGGCCGTGCAAGTAAATGTGAAATCAGCCCATACCAACGACAATGAAATGTACGAGGTGTATACGTTCTCTTGTGTAGTTGGTCTGGAAGTCGCTGTAGCCACGAATGTACGAAAAACTGTTCTCCAAATACGATACTTCTTGACAGCCCTGTTCCATAAAAAACAAAACGAAATATACCGATTTTCCTAAATATATTGCAATTTGCAAACACTGAAGATAGAAATGCACGGCCACCGCTCATGTATGTGTAGTGGCCAACTGCTTTTGTGAATTCTTGATGTAAAGGTCGTAGAAATTTCAGGCTCAACACACGATACGTGTACAAGTTGCTTGTATTGGCAATACCATAAAGTGCTCTGAAGAAATCCAATATGTCAACCATATCGCTGTATTACATGTTCGGCTTAATAGTGTTTGGTCATTCGTCTCTAGATTTGTTGCTTAATTGCTCCGAATATTCCACCGTTTTACATGGGTTTGGAATGCACCCAGCATGTCAAACCAGGACCCTGGTGTAAATGCGTCTCAATATCTATTTAATAATCGCATTTCATACAGATACTTTTTCGGTTAGCCTCGTCTAAAGCTAATAAATCAATAGCATATACGTCATGAGTAAGCTACACCAAGCATCCGTATTTTCAGAGTTCCATGCCACTTTTCAAATTGAGTTTAAAAAACCATGAAGAAACCAGCACCACTCAACCAGAATATCACTAGTGAAATCTGGATCCGAATGAAAGCTAAAACCTCACGTGATGAATCAAAGCGCCTTGTTGGATCATTCTTCATTTTTCCTTAAAGGTAGATCATCCAGACTTCAGCGACCATGAAATTCGCGACTGTGTTTGCCTCAGTCGTGATCCTCGGCGTCTCCAAAGCCGAACATTTACCAACGCAGCGAACAGAGGCCCAGGCCCTGAAATTTCGATCACCACTGCGAACCCCTCGACGTACATGGGAATCGGCCCTGAAATATTCCCCGTTTCGACTACCAGCGCCAGCGGCAGCACCACTACCACTGTCGACCTGTCTCCTAACTGTAACCAAGCTTGCCCGGATGACTATGAACCCGTTTGCGCAACGGATGGCAAACAGCAACTCGTGCAAGTTGGGCGTCGCGGCTTGCCAATACCCGACCGAGGGTCTTGCAAAGAATGCTGATGGTCCATGCAAGCAATTGGAAACCAAGAGCTCATCATCTCGGTTATGACGAAGAAAGTCGCAATGCTAACATGACGCTGTTGCGCTGATTTAGAAGCCTCTGGGGGAAAGAGTCAGGATTCTGAAGCGATCAAACAAAGTAATTGTTGTTGGGATCGTATTTGACACGTTTTGCTTAATTCTCGCTGCGGTACTTTTCACTGATGCGCCGCTGCTCTGACTATTGTGAAACACTGCTCACACAACTCCTTAGGACAGTTAAATTGTAAATACTCGGAGTAAAGTTTGCAGAACAAGTCAAATTATGGGTTTGAAAAGGGTAAATGTGGCAAATTTCCTCGAGACCACCGCATCAACCGCAGAACCGGTTCTTAGAGAATAATAGGTTATCCGTGACACCGCAGTGATGTCAATTATTTTCCCACTTGGAACAAAGTGCACTCGTATCCACTACACATCCGACCTATAGCTCATCAATACACCGCTGCAATCGCTTCTATCACTCTCGAGGCGAGCTCGTCATGTGTCGGCAATTTCGGATTCGCTCTCGACTGTTGCAGCAAGTATAGCTCCTGCTCGTCCAGCCCGTGAGACTGCGGCGAATGTTGCGTAGAAAGCACGACATAGTCGCTGTTGGCCTCGCAGATTTCCATCATGGTATGCGCCACCTCCTTCCAGATCTGCTTTAATCCCCGCAAGACACCGGCCACTACGTGCGGATTCACCACCGCATGTCCACGCGTCTCGGGGTGACGATGACGCGGAGGTGAGGCAAAGAAGATGCGAAGGGCGTTGTCGCCCGAGTCATCGTCCGCAGGCTCCACGATCACCAACACCTCAATCTACACAACAAGAACTTTAGCTAAACACAACGCTACCTCTAAAATGGGTCAAGTCAATAAAAACGTACCGAGAACTGCGATCCTTCCGGTAAAGCTGGCACGAACAACTTCATCCCAAACTCCAAGCGCCGACGTTTCGAAGTGCGGGGCTTCAGATCACGAGTCTTCGTGTCCTTACTTAACCCAGAAGGTGGACGCTTCTTGTCCCTCCCTTGGAGAGATCCACCAGAGCTCTGAATAAAGCTTCCTCTCTTATCTCCTCGACTGCCATCTGTGCGTTTATCCCCTCGGCCGCTATCAGTGTTCGCGGATACTGGCGGATCTTGGCTTCGTGCGTTGATAAGGGCGTAGTACTGGTAGTCCTCGACTTGAGCGACTTCCACTCCAGGGATCCCGCTTAACGGCATTCGGAAAACCTGTTTACGAATGAACCCATTCGTTCGTTCACGCGATTGTCCTGACGCCACAATAGCACGCCACGCACTGATGTCAACCTCCATGTTTCCGCTGTCGTGTGTAGAGCGGAAAAAGGAACAAGCATCCGACAGTAGCGCTTCGAAAAACAGCGGTGCAGTAACTTTACTGCCCATGTTCTCCTCTAGTACTTGTGCGAATTCTTCCGGTATGCTCTCGAAGAAAGGAGCGGCAGTCGCGGCCACCATCGCCTGGGAAGGAACGATTCCACGTGATGATGACGGTCCACGACTATAAGATCTCCACGGCAGCTGGATAGGCAAAGTGCTGAGACTGTCAGACAGCGGATTCGCGTCCGAAATTGCAGCAATGAGGCCTTTCATGACTTCCAGGGCGAATGCTCGTGGCAGGAAGGCGAGATCTGGCTTCACGCCGCGAGTGCCACGACTGGACGAGACTTCACCACTGGAAGCCAATGCTGCGGCAGTGTCAGTAGGTGTACTACTTGGTGTGTCACCCAACAGCGAGCCACGACGCACTGGCGGAGTCGCGAAATGTTGTCTAGTATTCGAGTCTCGTAGCAGCTTCAACAGTGTCGCACAACTGCTTCGAACCCCTTCTAACGCTCCACGCTCGATCTGTGGCTTGAGCATCGTATCTCGCGAGAAAACCACACCTGCTCGCCATCGCAGACGCAGCGCTGTCTTGTTCCCTGAAGTCTTCACTTGTTTACCATCACTGCTTTTATCCGACGAAGAAGATTTGTCTTCGGTAATACTCACTCGTTCCTTCGTCTCATCGCTGACAGGAACATCCTCCAGATCCACGAGCACTTCAATCGAGAAGCAGTTGCTGTAAGGGATACTGAGAGTGTACATCTTGGATCGAAGCGAGGCCTTGTGCGGTGTTTTATGCTCACCTTCTTGCTCGTCGAGTGAATCGTCATCAACCGTGCACGAGTGATACTGTTCGATAGTAACAGCTTTCATGCTGTTAAGTGTCACGTTCTTTCTTGTGCCTCTACTGCTCCCCATTGTAGGTACAGTGGTTGCCTCAGGACGATAACTGAGCGCTCGTATCAATCCGAAACGAGGGTGCGAGTGCCAGTCACGAAGCGTATCATCACTTCCTTTATCTCCTGTCGACGCAGAGGCTGTGGATGATCCAACCGGTGCAGATGTTGCTAGTTTAACCCGCTCCATCTTGCACTTAAGACGTGTAGCGCGCGGGGCGATCATCTCCAAGAACTCATTCACACTGGAGCCCGGTACAGTGGCCGTCGTCAGCTCCGTCATGTCTTGTTCCTTCATCTCCAAGAACGACGCAGCGTTCGCATCAGCCTCAAGCCACGGCAGACGCACGTCACCGAACTCCCATCTCGTTAGCATGGGGGCCTGGAATGTAGTGCCCTTGGCTTGTAATAAGCCTCCAATCAAGTGAGGCGCCGTCTGTGCTCGAGCCAACGCACGGGCCGATGACGCGCCCGATTGTGACGCATCGGCCGCAGCGGCCATCAAGGCTGACAGGTCCGAGCTGTACATTAGCTCAATGGCGTGATCGAATTGCTTGGACAAGAAGACGCCGCGCTTGCGGGATGATCCGTGGCCACTGCGGTCGTGTTCACTGAGCGAATCTTCGTCGTCCAAGCTCGCGCTGTTGCTTCTGCTGGTCGGGACGGACGGGTGAGCAAAGCTCGTGGACCCGGGCTTGTTGGCCAGCCACATGCCCTTGCCGAACCGGGCCGAGCACAGTATCAAATACACTTGAGGACTGCAGACTCCGGCCCCCTTGTCTCCGGGTCTCTGCAGCACACGGAAGGCTTCCCACGCGTGGAGTTTCTTGCTGGTCGCCACCATCTTCTGCACAATGTTCTGGCCCATGTATCGCTGTGTGGCCACGGCCCGGAAGCCCCAGTGGTGGGTTTTGCCTCGCTCAATTTGGAACAAGCATGACGCGTTGGGCTTGCTAGTGAACACGAGCTTGCGGTGCTGCGTGGCTCGCAAGAAACAGCCCGTGGCCGGGTCCATAAGGTACACGGGCGCGTCGGCCGCGCTGCGACTGAAAAGATGGTCCTTGAGGCTGCCCTTGACCTGTTCGTACAGCGAGCTGCCGCTCGTGCTGGACGACACGACCTCGGGCCGCTGGCTGCTCAGTCCGAGCGGCCGACTGAGCGACGCGTGGCCGTGTTGTGGCCAGCGCTCGCTGAAGGCCCTGAAGAGCTCGGCTCGCGCGGCGGCCAGCGCCTCGGCCGGCGTGATTTTGTGCTCTTGAGCCTGGCGACCGACGGCTAGCAAGGCGGCCAACGTCTCCCATAATTGCGCGAAAAAGCCCCAACCGTGGCCCTCCGTGACGACGCTGATGGACACGAGCGTGGGCAGCAGCGCGAAGAAGGCGAGCGGGACGACCGGCGTGTTGGCCACGGCGTCGCTGAGCTTTGCCGCCGCCAGGAGCAACGCACCGCTCGTCCCTAGAGACAGCAGCAACAACGGCATCTTGGACGCCATGGTCGGGATTGTTGCAAACTGATCTCCAGAACTACTGCTTTGACTTGAAGTTTGTATGGACTGAAACTTGCAAAAATGAATTATTATGACGTCAGTCGAAAAACCTGTGATCATAAATCGTTTACGCCAGGAAATAACGGATGTGATTACGAGTCGTAATTTACGACTGCACGGTACACCTTTTTCAGACCAAAATGAGAAATTCTCAGATCAAAACAAGAAATGCTCAGATCAAAACAAGAACCCTCGTCAAATACGATTTACAAATCCGTATCTGATATCATAGGGTTCCAGAATTCGAGAAGTCTAGAGGGCTCATGGGCACTTCAGTGGCAGAAACGCAGAAGCACTTCTCATTTAGTGATGAGATACAACAGCTACACGGACTACCAGCGCCAACGCGTGCTGTCTACTGCGAGAGAAGGAGGCAATTGGGCTCAAGTAGCTCTTCACAACGGCATTGCTTACCAAACCGCGTGGAGATGGGTGAATCGGGCGCGAACTACGAATGTCTGGACGCCAAGTGTTGGTCAACGTGGTGGGCCACGTCATGTTAAGATCACACCCGAGCATGTCGAGTCCATGGTGACTTTGCTGGAAGACAAATGTTTGCTGACGTTGTACGATTTAGTGGACGAGCTTAAGGTTAAGTATGACATCGATGTGGTACCCTCAACAGTTTACAATGCGCTAGATGCTATTTGCTTCACATGCAAGAAGATCCACAGCGAGCCAAGTGAAATGAACTCGAGCCGCGT